ATTAGAATAAATACGATTATGTTTTGTTAATATACATATATATAGTAAATTACATCATCGTCTTAAAAGTATGTTAAAGTATGTTATGTATACGTCTATACGTAATGTTGTACTATGACATTAAATCAACAATAACAATTTGTTTTCATGTCATTCAACAGTAATAATAAATGAATTAAAGTAATGCTTTATGTTAATTAGTGTATCGTAAAAATGTTATGAATATCTAACTACTTAAATCCAACTAAAAGTTGGTTTCTGTCATGAGGTTGTACGTACGACATAAAAATAAAATCATTAAACAAAATACGAAGTATTTAAATATTCATGGGTATACAAATATAGAACATTATGCTTTTATTTTTGTATAGGTACAGGATTTATTGATAAATATTTTTTAGAAATTCTGTGTTATATTTTTTAAATTAAAATCATCCACAATGGTTCCTTAATTTTGTCAATTAACTGTAGGCACGTTAAAAAACGTTCTACAGCAACAATACTCGTAAGAAAAAAAAATATACATTTATATATTAATTTATGTTCAATGATTCTAAGTGGATTGGGAATCGAATCAATAATTTAATTAGGTATATTTAACTCTATAGCTATTGTTATATAGATGTAAGTTATACAAGCAGTTAAAAAACAAGATAAATGTTGTTGCATTTTAAACACTAATTTTTTTGTGTAAATAAAACATTGGTCATTCCCAATTTATGGTTCACATTATTTTTGTGTATAATACCCAATAAAACATAATTTTCATTCAAAAAATCAACCAAAGGAAATTAAAATTAAGTAGGTACTCAGTATTAGTACTCACAGTACTGTGAGTAGTTGGTACAAAATGATACGTAAACGTGCATCGATAATGTTACAATAAAATGGTACAGTACATATAGATAATGTAGCTTTTTGGTATGGTTGCACAAGCGCTTCTCTAATAATATTTAAAAATGAGATATTTAATACTTTATAAAATGTCAGTAAAAACGACATTTATGAATAAAAATTGTATAAAAGTAGTGGCTAAACGTCTTTTGTTAGAGTATTATTTGTACTAACAAAATAATAAATAATACGAGTATAATCATTGTTCGTTATACGATAAACGTATAGAACTTGATCCTTATTTTTATCGCTTGGTATAATGTTGATAATATGCATTATCTACATTTAATTCGATTAAAATTCATCTTGTTTAATACAAAAATACTAATATAACATAATATTTTCAACTCATACTATTCTAGATGTTACGATTTTATTTATTGAATAATTTACTTTAATATTTTTTCATGTTAAATAATATCAACAAAAAAACTTTTAATAATATTAAAATATCCCAATACAATTAAAAGTATCAAATACAAGTTATAAATGTATATCATTTTTATACAAAAACAAAATATTTGATTAATGGTTGAATCCCAGTAACTACGGTATAATAGCAACTCCCTCATACCGACCTCACTTAGTTTTCATCCTAAAAAATTTGAGCTATAAAACTGTTTTTAATATTTGGTTTTAGTTTTTGTATCTCACTGTATTTTAAAATTTTATGTTCCTAAGAATTCATTTTTACACACACTATGTTCGATTTTCAACTACTAAAATTAATGTAAAACTAATAAACCCACGTACATTGAAAATGAAATTATTCGTAAAATGTAATCTACCAAATTTCATTACTGTTAATTAACAAATATGAATAATAACTCTGTATAATATTGTGATAAAAGCAATACTATAACTATTCCTATGTAATGCATTTATCGAATAAATAAAATCGTTATCTAATATAATAGTGATTATAAATTATTGTTTTGAGAATACCATGTTTGTCATAGAGTAGGAATAGGTAAATGTGTAATTAGTGGTGTAGCGACATTCTGCCTTCACCAGGAGCATAAATTGAGAAGAAGTGCAAAATTGTGCTTTAAATGTGATATTTTTAGCCTACTTTCAAATCGACACTGTTTGAAAACTAACGTTTTGAAATTTGTATTGATATATCACTGTTCTATTAATTATTGTTATCAACACGTGTATTGCGTACAATACATTTCCATATAACATGTTTTTAGAAAAGTTTAAATGACGATTTGTACTTGCTTTAGACAATTGTAAACTCTGCTCGATACATTGAGACACTGAAAAAATTAAGGGGGCAGGTGTGTCGCGTTTTTGGATCAATTGAGCCATTTTGTTGCTGCACGATAATGCCAGACCTCATACATCGAATGCAACCAATGCCATTCTTGAACAATTAAACTTCGAGGTTATTCAACACCCACCCTATTCACCATATTTGGCACCTTGTGACTTTCACTTCTTCCCAGTTCTCAAGAGACACCTCAAAGGTACCCATTTTAACTCGAAAGAAAATGTACAAGGAAGCAGTGAATTCTTTAATAAAAGAGAGACCTACTTCATATTTCAATGACAGTATGAAAAACTTGTGGTTTGTTGGGATAAATTTATATCTGTAAATGGTGATTATTTTGAAAAATTAAGATATTAATTTATTGCTAAAGAAATATACTTTCATTATTTTATTTTTTTTTTTTAATCTAAATTATTTTTTTCCATTTTCGAAAAATTCACTTTTCATTTAAGACCGTTTAGTTGACAAAAGATCCACCGAATCATGTTTTCTTTTGAGTCAATTATTAGCCAACTAAATAATAATACAAGGGCGATATAATAACTCAAAATTTTACATCGTGATTTATATGATTGAAATAATTTATTCTGCCTTAGGGAAACGCCAAGAAAGGAAACGTTATGTAGAATAATATTACGACGTTAGATCCTGCTGCGGACGCCTGATGCGGAAACACCTTAATCACCATAATTTGTTAATAAAGGATAGAATTGTGTACCGAAATAGGGTACACGATTGGAGTAAAGGAAACGTGGGTCACCGAAGGCTTTTCATTCGCCGTACTGCGCGCTTCTCAACCGACGACAACGACGTTAATATAGGTACAGGTATATATGCAATCTTACCTCCTGTGTAATATTGGCGTGGCCAACTACGCTAATTAAAACGTTCAAGCTTCTCATTTCACGAGGGGAATAAGGGCGACACGATATATATTAATATTAGTAACAAACCGTATACAACACGTGTATTTAGGTACATAAATGTTGTGTTATTCTTAATCTTTCTTGTATTTAATGTAATATTATTATAATTATTTGTTTACTCTTGTTATTTATATTAACTTGACAATTATGAAACCAACTTGTTGTACATATAAAGCTGGGGTTGTGTAATAACGACTTATATTTAACATCGAATATCATTTGAATTATATTGAGCTCCTAGCCTATAAATATATATATGTTAATGTCGTTCATACAGGGCCGTTTTGAAGTAGAGTAGTGCATTTGCAAATCAGCGAAAACGAGCCAAATCTAAAAGAAGAGTTTTACTAAAAATAATAAGTACTGATAACTTCATTCATTTGAATTAATTAAATTATTTTAGTTAAATGACATTTTTTAGGTTGATTTTGGTGATTGTTTTTCCAACTCCACTTTTTTTTTAAAAAAAAACTCTTATTTTCTTTATAGTTTCTAATTCTTCTTAATTTTTAATTTCAATATTAAAAAAATGTAAACATATTTTTTATTTTTCATACTGAGATCAAGATTAGATGCCGGGGTTATCGATGTAGAATCATTAATTGAACTACTGGAATTTTGGTTTAGTCAACGAAACTTGTTATGTTAAGATCATCCGTATATTATTTAAAATGAAACAAGATAAAATATTTGAAGACAATTTTTCGTTTTCTACTTTTTTCTTCACTCTTTCTTTTTCAAATCATGAACTAGAATATTTTTTTGAAGACGTTTTATTGTTTAATTAACATATTGACAGTTGAGAATGTATTAAATTTGTATGCAAATTATAATTTAACATTTAGATTTAAAACGGAGAAAATCGTAAATTTGTTTTTGAAACATTGTTATTTTTGTATATTGAGATACAAAGTGTATATTATCTATCTATATATTACATAAAATGATCTTGTCACAATGTTTGTTATTGAACTCCTCCGAAACGGCTCGACCGATTTTCATAAAAATTTTCTGTGTATATTTGGAAAGTCTGAGAATAGATCCTGAACTATTTTTAAAACTCCTAGATGTTAAGGTTGGCCCATCCTAAACGTATAAATTGTATACTTATAATATAGGCGGAGTCATTGCTCAAATATCAATAACAACTGCAAATTTTAAATATCACATATTCTTATTGTAATCTTATTTATACAATTCAAGTAATAATAAAAAATTGTTCTATATGAACAATGCCAGCAAGACGTAAAAGAGACAAATTGTGCCCTCGAACAAATGTAGCTATAAAACATAAATAAGAGAGCATAGAACAGACGAACAAATCCAATCCGACAGTACGAATGTGCGTGAGAATATAACACGATTGCGTGAGACTCAATCACAAGAAGCACGAGTTCAACGAAATGAACAACGATGATTGGAGCAAAGTCAAGCGCACCGTTCTCATCAAATGCAGAGTAAATGTCCGACAACACTAACAAGTGCATTAAACATTTGTATCTGATTATTTCATTAGTCTGGCATTCAAATATTAGTCAGATTTTGAATATTACGCTCATTCGAAAGTGACGATAGGTGCTATTAACAAGAAATGTCCCTATTGTCATGTACTTAAATTCAAAAATGAAGCAGCCGGGATGTATTCCACGTCAGGAAAAGTGCAACTACCGGTAAATGACATCAACCTCAGGGTAAATATGCCATTGTATATGTGTGCATAAATAATAATAACAATAATTATGATAATTAACAAGTCATTAATATGTTAACTACTATTCTTCCTACAGGATATAGCATTTAATGATTTTCAAAAACTTAAAAAATCAACGATGTTTTGATGTTTATTATGTGATTATACTTAATGCGCGTACTAAACTATATACATACGATTTAATGAGTCTTACCTGCAAAAAGCGCCAAACACAGAACGAAAAACCACCGTGTCAACAACGAAGCCATATTCGACAACTTCTGTTTGTCGTCCGCCTCCTGAAACACATGCACAAACGTATAACAAATTAACCAACTTAATTGAATTAAATAGTTTACAGAGCACTTTACTCTTTCTACTCTTTCTACTAACATTTATCTGGAATTAACCACGTGTTCAGTTAATGAAGTTTAAATACGTTGAAATGTTATGTACATATATATATATATGTGTGTGTGTATGTAAGCGCATGTGCGTGCGTGCGTGCGTGCATGCACGCCTGTGTGATATGTAGGGATCTCAGAATATTTTATTGGTTATTTTTAGAGTATATATATATTATATTATACAATGTTAAATTACCAATATTATTTATTGGGTATGCTGTATATGTAATTTATCGCCCGAATTCAAACATCGTTCCATTCGAAGTGGCGTATTTATATTGTATCATCCAAGGTACGCATTTATCAAGTACCCTTGAAGCTATGTAAATGCTTTCGGCAACTTTGTACCCACTGACCTCGTACAATATTACAATTCGAATAATTTTAGATTCAATTTAAAATTAAATTAAGTTAAAACTTATTAAAAGAAACGTGGACTAATTTGAGAAAAGAATACAAAAAATTATCACAGTTATGCTTCTATGCCCCCCTCCCCCTAAATGGCGCCCCTGCATGCAGCTACTATAATTTACCAACACATACGCTATAATATCTGGTTAATAATTGATAATTTTTTTTGACAAAAAAATATCCAATATTCTATTTTTACCATTAACGGATAGATTAATTATTTCACGTTTATCTATTTTACAACTACCATGATAAATATTTTTATATGAATATTACGAGGATATAGAAAAAATGAAATAAAAAATAAATAACACTATTTCACACATTATTAATCTAGGTAGTATTAGTAAGACATTATGTTAGAAAAATACCATTTATCATCTATAAATACTAGTTAGAATATTTTCATTAACTTAAGCATAATGTATAATTAAATTTTACTTTTTTTTTCAAAAAAAATTATGTATTTCCTACCAAAACAACTTAAACTCATATTGAGTGATTGAACTGTTTTCTTCCACTAAATTTATTTTCCTCTGTACAAAAATAAAACCATTTTATTTTTCTCTGTTACTAAAATATAATCGTATTTATTTAAAGTAAACCTCAAATTAAAACTTGAAATTAAATTTATTTTTAAAAATAATATATTGTGATTTGATAATATTATACCGAAGTAATATTTTAGTAATAATATTATTAGAACGACACCAACTGAATATTTTTTCCATTTTAAAATTAAAATAATGATTAGGTATGTATGCCTAAATAATGTCAGATTTCTTAAATTTCAAATATTCTTTGTAATAACAATTAGTTTTTTTAATATTAAATGATCATTAGACTTAAAAATGAATACTTGTCAAAAAATAAAATAAAATTTTAATGTAATATGTGTACATCATTTTTATATTACTCGAATTATAAATATTGTAAACTGTACATTGAATTTGTTGAATATTTGTATTTGAGGAATTTCGGGTACGAATAAAACGATTATGTTTATTTGAGCTTGAATATACGAATACGTATAAGTAATACGTATTACGTCTTACTAAAAAATAATAGAACTTTATTTAAAGATGTCAACATTTGAACTTAAGTATGAATCTGGATTTATCCATTTTACGAAAAAATAAAATTTTTCACATTGTATAGTAAAGCGTCACTTTCAAGAATGAAGATGTTTCATGGAGTGGATATTTCATTAAAATATTAATTTGATTAAGTGAATGTGATGTAGTGATGTACATAATTCATAATAAATAAATATAAATTTTATAGATCCAATACACAAATTCAGTCCATTAACATATTTAAAACATTAGAACACAACTTGAAGAAACAAGAACTATGATATTAGTGTAGGTACATATACAGAAAAAAAGATAAATATTTTTTTCATTAAGAACATCGTTGTTTCAATTTTTAAGGAATATGCCTTTTGGCATTTTCGTTTTTGATATAGCCTATGAATTACCTTCGGTATTCGCACTTTAAAATAGCGAATATAGTTTTCAAATTCGTGCAATATCGAATCGGTTACTTACACCTAAACAATATTATTTACCTATGTGATGTCACACAGCTAAGGGAAAATATTTTCAATTTATAGAACGTACAGCATAGTATAGGCATTTAAATAATGCTAAATGCCCGAAACATTGGTTATCATAACGGATATCCAAAATGCGAATTTCTATTTTTTTATTACGATCAAATGCATAAATGGTCGAAACTTGGTGTCGTTCTAAAATGTAAATACGTTAATACGACCACTTCATTAAGTAATTCAAGTTTTTTTTTTTAAGCAAACATATAACATTTTTTATTATCACCCTGTGCTCAAACACCCAGCCATAATGGACAGCTTTACTCGACACTGTTTACTAACCCATGCTATTAAAGATATTAATTATAGGACCTCAAATGAATTACTATAATTTAATCAACTATTAAAAAATATCTGTTTGTACTTTTAGTTTTGTTTTTACGTACAATATATACCAGATGTCTACATCATGTGTACTACAATTACACTAGTGCTCTATTATAAGATAACTAAGGTATATTATTGTTATTTAATATATATATATATATATATATACAAGTCAACGATTCAAACTTAAATTTTAAATAGAACAAAAAAAAAATTAAAAAAATTTATTTTGAAAACAAATTCATTAAAAAAAACTTAATTATATTTTTTTATTAATTTTTATAACACACAGTTATTTATCAGAAATAATAATATACATTGAATAATAAAACGGAAAAAAATGAAGTATTATTAACTTTATTTATAATCATTATCTTTTTAATATATTATAAATATAAAAGTAGGCAATGGAATGTTCAGTGCAAAGTTACTAGTTTGGTGTTGCTAGACAGATGACCTTTTGGATTTTAGCGATGGGTTTTTAAATTATAAGTCTTAAATTATGAGTCAAAAACTAGCACTATGACAAACTACAGAAAAAATACAAACTCATTATCACTATTGTCAATCAATGGAACTGATTTCTGAGTTTTATATCAATATTAAATATATATTTATATTTTAGTATTAATCAATATCAAAAACAACAAATTATGTGTTTATGCCTATACTTATATGTATGATTTCATTTGTGAATATGACAAAATCTATATTATATATATATATATAAATTAATTGTCTCATATATGTCAGAGAATTACTTGAAAACGGTTTGATCGACTTCACTGATTTTTTTTTTTGTACTCGTAATTATCTGGACAAAGTTTGTATGAAAAACAATTTTTAGAAAGTTACCGAATAAAATTTGTTACAGTTTTGTCACTATTATATAATATATTATATAGTTGACGGTTTGTGTACGATGGACTCCAAAACTACTTAACCGATTTTGATGAAATTTGGTACAGAGATAGATTAGACCTTGGAAAATAACATAGGCTACCTTTTGTCGTAAAAATAAAGGAAAGGGAAGCATCAGTCCACCTGAAAAAGCCCAAACAGGCAGTTGTTGTTTTGTTGTTGCTATAACAACCGAATAACGGAAAAGAAAAACGACACTCATTGCAATGAATTTACAAAACCTTTTCTGAATATTGAAGTACCAAGATAAAACACTAAAAACACAACAAGAAGAAAATATAAACACTTAATTCAAGGAACTTTTATTCAAAATTGACCTGATGCCAAGTCTAAAGTCGAACTTAAACAGTCACTGTTAAAACTGTGGAATGTTTTTGTTTGAAAATGTTTTTACACCATATGCGTGAATCAACATCTTTCAAAAATATCAAAAAACCTCAATAATCAGGGGTTTTTGACTAGGGACTGAGACTTTAATGCTTTTAATGGTTTAGGCAAGGGTTCGAGTTTTTAAATTTTTATTTTAGAGGTTTAGATTAAATTTCGGGATTTTAAGAGTTTTAAAATTTAGGTTTCGGTTCCAACCAGTTTCTAACCTTTAATTTAGTACATTATTTTTTCAAACTAGAAATTTTAATACAAGAATATGTATTGTATATTATTGTTTAGTATTTGCAGTATGTTACACTTATTTAGATACAAAACACTAAGAAAGTTTATATTGAAACCCTATGAGAACCTGTTTCATAATTAAAAATGATTACACACTTTACACTTTTACAATTAATAGTAATTTATGGTTGCATTTTAACAAAATTATTTAATAAGTATAATTATCAAATACTGGTAAAATACTAGTTTCAATTTATAAGAAAATAGTACAAATTTCAATGATATTAGTTTTGCTTTGGTATAGGCTTCAGTACGAATTTCCTTTTGTATGTAATGATTCTTCATGTACATACTTCCTATGAATTATGAATATTTATTAAATAAAACATTTTCAGAAATTGATGTAAAACATTTTCTTACTTTATAGTATTTAAATTTATAGCCATTTTTTATCTAAACCATCTAAAATTGGATTTATAATTTTTTTGAAACCGATATCATTCAGTACACTATATGGCCACCCATTTACAGTGACTAAATCTACACAGGCGCTGATTTAAGTGTTCATATTAATGTTAACTTTAACCTCGGATATAGAAAAATAAAAGAGTTTCTCATGTGCTTTGATAATAGATATGTTATTCTGGCTATATTTTTTTATTTCTGTATCTTTAACCAGCATCCCTTCATATATATATATATATCCTAGGGGGAATTCAGGTGCCTTTTCAAATTTGGTCCATGCTTTCCTTTTTAAAATTATAGGTACATATTTATAAATATTTATATAATAACTGATTACCTAGATATATCGATTAGATTTTCAAAATATAAATATTTAAGGAATACAATATACAAACTAAATTAATCAAAATAAATATTATTTAAACTTTTCATAAGTAATCTGCTACAAAGCTACACGTACAGATGAAGAGCAATTACTGGTAAAATCATAGGTACTATTTTTTATTTTGTAGATAATCACATAATACTCACATTGGGTATTTTT